CAATGAGAGGGGCTTTTTGGGGTGGCATCCCGACGGTGAGTGAGACCAGGCTGGGGAGACATCCCCCCATGGGGTGGAGGGGGGACGCTCCCGGACTTGGGGACCCATGGAAGTGGCCTCAGCCAGGACCGTGTGGCCCTGGGCAAGGGGTGGGTACTGCTCTGGCCCCAGATGAGCCTTTTCTGCCGCCTCTGTACCCAATACAGATTTCCAACCCCCCGCCGCTGCCTGTGTGTGCTGGGGGGGCAGGATCGGCAGCACCGCCGCCCGGACCCCGCCCCCCAGCACAGCGGCCGTACCCCTTCTCTCCCAACCGTGTCCCCTCCCTGGCCGTCCCACCTCCAGGGCTGGGGCCGTGCTTGGTGGGGACCCGTGCAACACTCAGGTGCAACCAAGCAGCTCCCGGGTCCACCTGGGCCACGTTGGATATAATGGGAGGTGAGGAGCAGCAGCTGCTCTTACTGGGTTAACTGGGCCTAGAGGGAGGTTGTCGTTCCTCTCTGCTTTCGGCTCGGTGGTGAGTGAGGGGCTCTCTGGGTACCACTGTCCGGTGGGATGGGGATGTGGGGCTGGGATGTGGCATCCCTGGGGCCCTCTCCCTCCCCAGGTGACCTGGGCAGCTCCTGGTGGGATGTGGCCGTGCGTGGTGCCATGGCTGGGGGGTGGCACCCCGATGATGCTATGGGCATCCCTTCCCTAGGTATATGTTGATGGGACTCGTGGGGGGGCAGCCCCTTCAGGGGCTCCCCCATGGTGGGGACAACCCTACCCTGTCCCTGCCCCGGGCTAGTGTGGGAGAGTCAACAGCGCTGATAGCCATCTCTGGTCTGCTCCTCTCTGTGCTGACGCTTGGTCAAACAAAAGGGCTGGGTAAATGTTTGGAAAGCAAACACCCATAAAGGCAGATTCCCAAGGACTCTCCCATCACCGTGGGCATCACCGCTCCGGCCCCTTCCTTTGAACCAGCCCCAACCCTGGCGCTAAGGTGGTGGGTGGCTTTTCTCTGCTCTCAAACGCTTTTTGGGGTGAGGGTGGGCATCTCGTCCTTCTTCCTTCCGCTATGGGAAGAAACAGGCCTGAGTGGAGAGAAAGGGGAAGGGGCTTTATTGGCAGGTGACAGGCAGCAATGCCCCGTGCCGTGTCCCTCCCCACCTCTCCCAAGGCCAGCAGTGTGACAGGGACATCTCCGAGAGCCTCTGCCAGGCACGCGGAAGGCCCAGCATCGGCTCCGTCCCCAGGTTCAGTCCAGTCCCCACACGTTGCTGCGGGCGGTGCGTGCCCAGGGAGGGACCAGCGTCCCTTCTCTTTAGTGGCCTGTCAGCCCCCACATGGCCCCAGGAGCACCCTGGGATGGGATGCCAGCCTGCCTCCCCAAAATGGCTTTCTCAGCATCCTTCCCATTCCCACAGGTGCCCGGTGGCTGTCCTGCGCAGAGCGGCACCTGCACCCTCCTCCCACAGCATCCCGGGGCAGGGCTGGGACAAGCCCCATGGCCACCGGCCCCCAGCCCCAGCCCTGCGGTCTCTGCCCCTGCAAAGGCTGGGCAGGGGTAGGTCAGGTTTGGGGACCTGGGGGTGCCAGGGTGCCCACACAGAGCCCGGAGGGGCTGCAACTCGCGGAGACCAGGGATGAGGTTACTGCAACCCCCGTTGGCCCCTCAGCACCCGCCTCCACTCCGTGCTGTCCCCGTCCCTCGGGTGTCACTGGCAGCGTGGCTACCACCCGCGACGTTGTCCATGGAGGGGGATACCAGGGCCAGGTTGCACATGGGTGTGGGCTGGAGGCGCTGGGCTGGCCCCCGGCGCAGCCGACCCCGGTACTTGTCCCCAGCCATGAAGTACAAGATGGGGTCGAGGCAGCTGTTGATGCTGGCCAGGGGCCGCGTGATCTTGTAGCTGAGGTTGATGATGTTGAGGGTCTGGCAGTCGGCTTGGACGTAGCGGGAGGTGTAGTAGATGGTCCGGGTGATGTGGAAGGGCACAAAGCAGATGGCAAAGACAGTGAGCACAACGATGATCATCTTGATGGAGCGCTTCTTGTAGGAGGGCATTCGGTGGCCGGGGCTGGAGAAGCTGGACTTGCTGAGTCTCTTGGCCATCAGGCAGTAGCACAGGACAGTCACCAGGAAGGGGACCCCGAAGAGGAGGGCCATGACGGAGGAGCTGTAGTGCACGTAATGGTCAAAATCCTCAGGCTTGGTGGTGTCGTGGCACAGGGTACTGTTGCCCTTGGAGCTGGTGGTGACAAAAATGATGTTGGGTATGAGGCAGATGGTGACGACAAGCCAGGCACCCATACAAATGATGCGGGCGTGCTTGGTGTTCACCCACTTCAGGGAGCGGATGGGGTGGCAGATGCCCAGGTAGCGGTGGACGCTGATACACGTCAGGAAGAGGATGCTGCTGTAGAGATTAGCGTAGAAAAGGAAGCGCACGACCTTGCAGAGCCATTTCCCAAAGGGCCAGTTGTTGCGGTCGGCATAATAGTAGACCAGGGTGGGGAGGGAGAGGACATAGAGCGTGTCGGAGACGGCCAGGTTGAACATGTAGGTGGTGGTGGCGTTCCAAGGCCTCATCCTGGAGATGAACATCCACAGGGCCCAGGAGTTGAGGGGCAGCCCCACCACGAAGACAATGCTGTAGGAGACAGGCAGAAGGATGAACTTGAACTCCTCGTTGAAGACACACTTTGTCTCCGCGGTGGTGTTTCCTCCTGGCCAGGGAGCCGGCGTTGGTGTCCACAGGGCAACTGGGAACGTCCTCACTGAAGTGGCCATGTTCTCCGAGCCAGATCTAGGAGAGCAGTTAATAAAAGCGCATTAGTTGTTGATCCTGACCATTGTCAGGCACAAAGCGTGGAAGGGAGCCAAAGATGCCAGATTTTTCCCCCCCTCCAGGAGCTCCGGCCACTTTGATGGTTCTCTGGTTTTTCTCAGCTCGCGCGTTCGGGCCTCGCGGGGAGCTGAGGGGGGCTTGACAAATCCTCCCCGTCGTAGCCCCCGCAATGACACCCGTTAATCATCCCTTTGAGCAGCGCGCAGTGACACCAGCGCCGCGTGGAGCCGGGAAGCGTGCCTGAGACAGAGGACCGCGCCGGCCCCGCCGGCCAGCAGCCCCACGGCGCGCTGAACAATGAGACCTTTATGAGCAACAGCAGCCCCTGGCCGGTGCCAGCGCAGCCTCTTGGAAGCCGGCTCAGCCTAATTGGCACCATCCTGACAATGCTGCTCGTCCCAGAGGGCTTCTTGACAGAAGAAAGGCGGGAGGAGAAGAAAGGCTTGTCTAGGGGAATATTATGGCCCGGAGAAATCCTTGGGGGGCTGTAAAAGGAGCCTTTGGGAGAGAGCGTCCCTGGATGCTGAGGGGCCTCCAGCTGCCGGGTATTCTCCGTAGGAGAGGGATGATCTAAGGCCTGCGGAGAGGAGCTGCGCCGGAGCCAAGCCCCAGCCCAAGACAGTGCAAGTTCACGAGGCAGGCAGGACGTCTCCCCTCGCGCGTTGTTAGGATCAAAGGCTGGGATCTGCGTCCTCCTGGCAACTTGGGCCCCGGGGCTGAGGTGCGAGGGCGAGCTGTCCAAGGGCTGCGTTCACCTCTCAGGACAGCTACAGTTCAGAGCCCGCTCCGGAGGGAAGAGGGAGCTTCTGCCACCGTCATGGTGTCCAGCAAGGGACTGGCGAAGACTGCCCGTGCCTTGGCCCTTTCACACCCGCCACCATCCCTGGTGAAGCGATTTCGGAGTGGCCGCTTCTGCTGGCAAGGATGGATGCTCGGATGAGTAACCTGGGAGCAGGAGCACCTGCTGTGCTGCGGGCAGAGGTGAGGGTGTAGCCCAAACCGCGTCTGATAGAGGGAGCGCTGGTGTGTCTCCAGTTTCTGTCAGTCCAGAGCTCACCCAGGAGGTGATGGGCGCCAGGACGGAGGAGGACTCGGGGCTCAGGGAGATGATGCATGTTTGCAGGATGCTGGCGGTGGTGGTACGAGGCAAAAGGCTGCATCCTCTCAGGCTCCTTCATCCCTTGGCTCCCTCATCATCCCCCTCCTGTTTGCCCCTTGCCTTCGCCACTAAGATTTGCAGCCTGATGGCTTCTCATGGCAAGCTCCGTTGGCAGGAATATCCTGTAGGGTGTATCCGTGGGGTCAGCTGAGCTGCGATCCATCTTCTCCCTGGAGAGACGTCCCCAACTTTACAGAGATGATCATAAATGACTCAGCAGGCAGATGGGCAAGCGGGTGGCCGCGGACTGGCCCCACCGTGCTGCACGCACCTCCAACCTCAAACACAACTCTGTTTGAGTTGTGGGCTGAGCTGCAGCTTTGGGTTCACATCAAACACCTTGCAGCTTCTTTCCCACTGCAGGTGGCACGGGCAGCTGCCTGGTTTTATTACAGGGATGAGTTCAGAGAGCAACAGGCAGGTCCTGATCAAACATTAACAGTGGGAAGAACTCGCTCTGTTTTCCTAGAACCAGGAGGAAAAAGCAGCTGGTGGGAAACCCTGAGCCTCCGAGCGCTGGTGCGTGGTGGTCCCGTGGGGCTGGCTCTGCCGAAGGGAACGTTGCGCCGGTCATGCTGGTCCCAGCCCGGCGGCTGCGTCTCCCCAAGCCGTGACACTGCTGATGACACGAGGCACCAGGAGAGTTGTTTTCCTCTTCTAATCTCTGAGTGCGAGTGAGCCTGAAGCCTTGAGCCTGACCAGACCAGAGGTGCCGCAGGGTTCAGTGTCCAAAGCCAATGTCCATGACATAGGTCAACAAACAACTAGGATATGAAGAAGCCAATAAATAAAAAATAATAATCTGGTGTAAGAAACGCACAAGGAAAAAGAGCCCACCAGCACGGTGCTGGGCTGCTTGGAGGAGAGTGCAGATATGTGGCTTCTGCCAGCTGATAAAGCCCGTGCACGGTTACCACTAAGCGGCATGATTTAACTGTTCCTAAGCAAGCTTCCTTTGCGGATAACCAGCAAAAAAGAAAAATGCAAAAGATGATGATATTTGGCAAGCTTTATCTCAACAGGTTTCCTGTTTCCTCATCTTAGTCACAATCAAAATCAGTGGTTTAAATTACTGATTCACACCGGTCCACCCTGAGGACATGTCACCACCGGGCTCGTTCCTACACCTCGCTGTTGTCCCCAGCAAGGCTCTCCCTGGCCACGGGCCCCTCCAGCGTGGGCTTTTCAAGAAGGGACCGACCGCAGCCGCGGTGAGCTCTGAGCCAAGCGTTTGGGCTCGCTGCTGGAGCGGGAGGCACTGCTGGGAAAGGATGTGTTGCTGGGGAGGTGATTCCTGCTCCTGCCCAGCACGTTTTGTGGATGCACGAGGGCTGCGATGCTGGGGAATCCCTTGCCCGTGGCGAGCACATCCCCCTGGGACGGTGCCTGCGGGCTGGTGCTTGCACGCGCCCTGGGAAGCAGCAAGGGGTCCTGCAAAACACCTGCACAGCC